TAACGACTTGCGTTTGCTGGAAATTACTTGCAGGACTTGCGTGTTCGAATTCCACACTACAAGCATCCCTGCTCTAGTTGGAAGTTCGACAAGTGCACGGGAATTGCTTCCCAGGGTTGCTTATTGGCACATTGGGCCACTTCCAGTGTTGCCTATAAATGCAACCGCCACCTTGTCATTCCTTATTCTTTTTTCCACTGACGTCCAGCCGGATAGCAGCACATCGAGTCATCCACCGAGGGATCTCCGCTTATCAGGATCTCTACTCATCTATAAATTCATTCGCATTATCTTTTTAGTAATTTACGTGCCTGTACATTTTAAATTACATTTCATTTTCATAAAATCATTCGCCTCGTGAATCTTCTAGTATTGTTAAATATTAATTCTTGCGCTCAATTTGTGATTTAAAATCATTCATACTTTCCGTCTATTATCATTCGCATTTTCTACATACATACGATTGTTATTCAAAGTCACATTCAAACATTAAAGTTTCTTGTATTGTATTCATTCATGCATACATGCGTAAGCATTCAACTATAATTTCATAATTCTCTTTAAATATTGTAAATTTCATTATTGTTAATAAATACTACTTTTAATATCGAAACCAATATCGTAAATATTGAACAATAGCTTTTTAGAACCTAACTAAATATTTAGGTTTATGTACATACATAATTTACGCATTACAAAATAATAATTAAATTGTAGTTTAAAAAACTAAAACCTCCCTATTATAATTTCCATTCGTACTGTCATCAGTGACAGTAATAAGATCAACGGATATAAGGTCAATTGACTTTATTTCCCACTCTGGTGCGAAATAAATTCAATTGACATTATTACCTTTTTAAAAGCGAAATAAAATCCATAGACATTTTTGCTCTTTCAAACATTAAATTTGCTTAGCTTCGCGGCGGCCCGCGTTCGCGCCCCGCGTACCTCGCGCGACCGGCGCGCACACCACGTCACGCAACGCCGCGGTCCCCGGTGAAATCCTTTGCGTGCACTTCTTTTTCTCAACTAAAATTTTCTAATTTATAAAGGCTATTCAACTGGTTTATCTTATTTTATCATTGCACTTTTGTTTTGAAAATGTGGCTTTATTTTATTGCTAAATGTGAATGATTAAAAGGAATGGCACCTTTTTTGGCACTTTTATTTTTCTATTTTGCACATTTTTATCCTCAATATGGCACCTCATAACTAAGGATAGTTGGCAGCCCTGATTGGAATATTTCTGCTGTGGTTTGGCAACAACTTGTCTGCAGTAAAAAAGCATATAATTTGTGTTTCAAAACTGTGTGAAAACCAATGAATTAATTCAAATTATCTCGGTTCCGATATTAAAAAATCAATAATTGTTTATACCCGCATTTTGGGACATTGACTTGAATGTGCCATCTAATAAATAGTGTCGTCGTTCGCCTTGCTTTTAAGTGATGTAACAAATTGCTGGCGGAGACATAAATACAGTGTAAGAAAATTCCTTTTCTATAATTATTTCCTTATAGAAAAGTTGGTTTCTTTTCCACCTTAGACATTCCGAATTCGTTCAAAATATGCTAATTTAAAACAAAGAATTCTTTCAGTTTTCCTCCGGGGTTTTTGGACATAGACTGTTTCTTTAATTTAATAGTGTTCGCTTTATTTACACGAGCGAGTTTTCTTGAGCAATATTAAATCGCCTAAAAAATCGCCTCATGTAAATTCAGCTTTACAATTCTTTTGTCTCAATTTACTGACATTGTAAAAGAGTTTTGCATACAATACATAGAGTTAGATACCTACTCTTTTTAGCAAATTCTTATGGTCTGATTACGGCAACTTAACGTTACTTACCGCTCTCTCTTAAAAATTCTGTTAAATGGGAGTTGCTTATAATTGAACAGCTGAAACTTAACTTAAATTAATGCCACGCCGAAATCTGTTTCATTTTGATTCTCTCACTTCAACGTTCCGTTAAGTTAAGTTGCCATAATCAGGCTTTTAGTCTTTCCATGAGGATATATAGAGGAAGTTCGTAAAAAATAATGCTTTTCCACAGTTTGAAAAAATATGTAAAACGAAGCAACTGAGAGGAACTTAAGTATAAGGTTTACTTCCTTGCGCAAAGAGAGAAACCGGTTTCTAATTAAAATTTATGAAACTGAACTTCAAATTAAAGTAACTTTAACATTAAATGTATAGAATTCTTTGACTATTTAACCACTGAAAATGGAAATGATCTCATTAATGCTATTCAAAAATGTCATAAATATAAAATATTTTATTGGCTCCTGTGTGCAATGATGTGTACACTAGGGTGGTCCAAAGACAGTAAAGTCGGAATTTTAATGCTCTCACCCAATAGGATTGTTCCATATCGAAAAAAGTATAGCCCTATTTTTATACCCCAGCGCACTTGTGCACAAGGGTATTATAACTTTGTTCACATAACGGTTGTTTGTAACAGGCAAAACGAATCGAGATAGATATAGACAAATGTATACATAAATGATCAGAATGAAAAGAGAAATCGATTAAGCGGTGACTGTCTGTCCGTCCGTCGAAGTAGGCGTGGTTATTGTCCGATTTGCCCATTTTCAATACCATCCGTCCCTACGCCCGAAAGAAGTTCACGTACCAAGTTTCGTTAAGATATCTCTAATTTTTACTCGAGTTATCGTGTGCACAGACGGACGGACGGACACGACGGACGGACAGACAGTCACCGCTTAATCGATTTCTCTTTTCATTCTGATCATTTATGTATACATTTGTCTATATCTATCTCGATTCGTTTTGCCTGTTACAAACAACCGTTATGTGAACAAAGTTATAATACCCTTGTGCACAAGTGCGCTCGGGGTATAAAAATAGGGGCTATACTTTTTTCGATATGGAACAATCCTAGGTGGTGAGAGCATTACAATTCCGACTTTACTGTTTTGGACCACCCTAGTGTACACATCATTGACACAGGAGCCAATAAAATATTTTATATTTATGGACATTTTTGAATAGCATTAATGAGATCATTTCCATTTTCAGTGGTTAAATAGTCAAAGAATTCTACTACATTTAATGTTAAAGTTACTTTAGTTTGAAGTTCAGTTTCATAAATTTTAATTAGAAGACCGGTTTCTCTCTTTGCGCAAGGAAGTAAACCTTATACTTAAGATCTACTCTCAGTTGCTTCGTTTTACATATTTTTTCAAACTGTGGAAAAGCATTATTTTTATACGAACTTCCTCTATATATCCTCATGGAAAGACTAAAAGCCTGATTATGGCAACTTAACTTAACGGAACGTAAGAATGAGAGAATCATAGATGAAACAGATTTCGCGTGGCATTAATTTAACGTTAAGTTTCGCTGTTCAATTATAAGCAACTCCATTTAACAGAATTTTTAAGAGAGAGCGGTAAGTAACGTTAAGTTGCCGTAATCAGACCATAAGAATTTGCTAAAAAGAGTAGGTATCTAACTCTATGTATTGTATGCAAAACTCTTTTACAATGTCAGTAAATTGAGACAAAAGAATTGTAAAGCTGAATTTACATGAGGCGATTTTTTAGGCGATTTAATATTGCTCAAGAAAACTCGCTCGTGTAAATAAAGCGAACACTATTAAATTAAAGAAACAGTCTATGTCCAAAAACCCCGGAGGAAAACTGAAAGAATTCTTTGTTTTAAATTAGCATATTTTGAACGAATTCGGAATGTCTAAGGTGGAAAAGAAACCAACTTTTCTATAAGGAAATAATTATAGAAAAGGAATTTTCTTACACTGTATTTATGTCTCCGCCAGCAATTTGTTACATCACTTAAAAGCAAGGCGAACGACGACACTATTTATTAGATGGCACATTCAAGTCAATGTCCCAAAATGCGGGTATAAACAATTATTGATTTTTTAATATCGGAACCGAGATAATTTGAATTAATTCATTGGTTTTCACACAGTTTTGAAACACAAATTATATGCTTTTTTACTGCAGACAAGTTGTTGCCAAACCACAGCAGAAATATTCCAATCAGGGCTGCCAACTATCCTTAGTTATGAGGTGCCATATTGAGGATAAAAATGTGCAAAATAGAAAAATAAAAGTGCCAAAAAAGGTGCCATTCCTTTTAATCATTCACATTTAGCAATAAAATAAAGCCACATTTTCAAAACAAAAGTGCAATGATAAAATAAGATAAACCAGTTGAATAGCCTTTATAAATTAGAAAATTTTAGTTGAGAAAAAGAAGTGCACGCAAAGGATTTCACCGGGGACCGCGGCGTTGCGTGACGTGGTGTGCGCGCCGGTCGCGCGAGGTACGCGGGGCGCGAACGCGGGCCGCCGCGAAGCTAAGCAAATTTAATGTTTGAAAGAGCAAAAATGTCAATGGATTTTATTTCGCTTTTAAAAAGGTAATAATGTCAATTGAATTTATTTCGCACCAGAGTGGGAAATAAAGTCAATTGACCTTATATCCGTTGATCTTATTACTGTCACTGATGACAGTACGAATGGAAATTATAATAGGGAGGTTTTAGTTTTTTAAACTACAATTTAATTATTATTTTGTAATGCGTAAATTATGTATGTACATAAACCTAAATATTTAGTTAGGTTCTAAAAAGCTATTGTTCAATATTTACGATATTGGTTTCGATATTAAAAGTAGTATTTATTAACAATAATGAAATTTACAATTGGCGGGGGGCCGAACCGTACTTAGGCGATTGATGGGGCAGAACTTCTCCAAGTGGTGGACTGTAGCGCACAATGTTTCTTCGTGGGCTAATGTTTTGGAGTGTTCCAACTGATGGACGGCCGGCGGTCGACGGAGACGGCGGCTAAATGGATGTCCAATTCCAACGACGACGGGGATGGTTTCAGCGGGTTAGGAGTCGTGCCGTTGTATAGCAAGTTGCTTGCAAGTGTGGTGCGTCAAACTACGCGCTACGTTCAAAAACGCCTTCAACTCGCGGCCACGAAATGAAACACCAAATGTTTTGCTTTTGAACGATTTATTCACTTGGCTTTCGATTACAAAAAAGATGCAAATTTTCGCGTATAATGCGAACTTTAATTGACTTCAATATCCGAATATAAAAAACAATGATACAATAGGTTTAATGAAATATTTCGCGCACGAGCACTGCAGTTACGTCTATATAGCGAAGAAATAAAATTGTAATAATAAAGCTGTCAAAAGATGCAAAGCATATATATATACATACAAATGAGTATACAGCGAGTTGGTAGCGAGCGAGTTGGGCATGCGTTGCCAACCACTCCTAAGATAAGCTTACAAAGGGTGCACACCAGAGCTAGTTCAAAGTATAAATTCAAAATATACAAAATTCAAGAGATACAAAATTCAAAATGAAATGCACACTAGTAAGCTAGCTACAAATTGTGTTAATTAAATATAAGTGTTGCAGTGCTCGCGTAGCCATCCTCCCGGCCCTGGCCGCGTTAGGCGGCTAGTGCATCCTTCAGCTCCCGTAGAGCCCTCATTGCCTCGTGGACCAAAATTTTGGTAGCCTTGCTACGATAGCCAGCGGTTTGGAATCCCTTCCTCGTGAAGCGCACTTTACGGTTCCCGCTGGTGGGATGGTGTCGGGTGTGGTTGTAGGGCGGTGATGTACGCCTTGATCCCCCACGTTGGGGAGCGTTTTTGTTTGTCTGGTCGAGGCGTTTGGGGGGCGGCACTACGGAGTTCGCCCTCGTGCGGCGGGCTGCCGGTATACCATTCCGGTGCAGTAGTGTATGATGCTGTAGGGAGCAAGTGCGGCAGGTGGTAGTGGACGTGCACTGGGCGGTCGGATGCGAAAGCGCCAGGCAGTTCGTGCAGTACTTGTGCGCCCTTGCCAGTAAGAAGCGCTGCTGTGGCTGTACGCCCAAGAACGCTGGACACACTCGGAGCGCATGATGACCGGCGCACAATCGGCACCGCTTATAATCCTCCGTGGGATGATTCGCCGAACGTATGCTGTGGGTGGTTCCAATCTGCGACTTTAGGAACGTTCGCGGTGCTGGCTGAGGTGCCTCATCGTGATCCATCTGGAAGAAGTTTGTATACGGAAATTTTTAGTGTTACGTATATTAATATATGGGAGGCATAGGAGAGAGATACGAAAGTGTATATGTATGTGTGGTGTGTGAAAATCGATGTGCAGTCATTTGGCTGCTTATTCAAGTGAGGAGTTTATGGAGTGCTGATCGGTTTCAATGCGAGAGGGGGTGTCTTCGCTCGAAGGCAAAAATACTAATTTTACTAATGGCCGAGTGAGTAGGCCTGTTTGGGTGCGGACGTCGACCACACGAATGTGTCCATCCTTGCCAGGGTGCAACCTTTCGATGCGGCCCAGGCGCCACTCCGTGGGCGGGAGTGTGTCATCATTAATGACTACGCATTCTCCGATTCTGGGTTCTACTTGAGCGTTCTTCCACCTGTGTCGCTTATGTAGGTCTTTAAGGTAGTCTTCCTTCCATCGGTTTGCGAATTGGTGGTGTAAAACCTTGAGTTTTTCCCATCTATTAATGAGCGAGAGGTTTTCGCGATTAGACTCGGGGAATGATAGGAGGGGAGCACCCCGGAGAAAGTGGCCAGGTGAGAGCGCTGTAAAGTCCGTCGGGTCTTGGGTGAGTGGGGTTATCGGACGAGAATTTAATACAGCTTCTACTCTTATTAAAAGGGTAGTAAACTCCTCAAACGTAAATTTATGGGGCCCGGCAGTCCTTTTGAAGTGAAGTTTAAAACTTTTAACGGCAGACTCCCATAAGCCACCCATGTGCGGGGCGCTGGGAGGTATAAATTGCCAATTAATACCCTGGGGTGAGTATTTTTGGACAATATCACGGGATGCAGTTTGGAGGAAGACAGAGAACTCCTTTTCAGTGGCTCTTTTGGCTCCTATAAAAGTTTTGCCATTGTCACTCATCATTTTAGCGGGGTAACCACGGCGACCAACAAAACGAGCAAAGGCGGCGAGAAATGCCTCTTTGGTCAGGTCTGAGCACAGCTCGAGGTGTACCGCCTTTGTTGTGAAGCACACAAAGACGGCCACATAGCCTTTCACTAAAGTGGGAGATCTTAGCATGGAGGCTTTTATTTGAAAAGGCCCAGCAAAATCAACACCGGTGGTGGTGAAGGGCGGAGCGAAGGTGCATCGTTCGGGCGGCAGGGCAGCCATAATCTGCGAGCGCATTTGCTGTTTGTGAATGGTGCAGGATTTACATTGATAAATGCATTTTTTGATGAGGGGTTTTAGCCGGGGAATATACAATTCTTGCCTGGTCATCTGCTGCATAAGTCGTACTTCTGCATGGAGCAGGAGATCATGGAGAAATTTTAGATAGAGGAATGCGAATCGGGACTTTTCCGGAATTATAATGGGGTGACGTTCGTTGTAGCTCAGGGTAGCATGAGCAAGGCGTCCATTGACGCGGATAACTCCATTTTTATCCAAGAAGGGGTTAAGAACTAATAGTGAACTCTTTTTGTCAATGGGTTTTGAGTCTTCTAAGCGGGCTTTTTCATGGGGGAAGTGACGGGTTTGCGTAAGGATGATCAGACGAATTTTCGCTTGGCGGAGCTCATCATGTGATAGCGGGGATGATGCGCGGTCAGAAGCTCCTGTCCCTTTGTCGTTTAGTCGTCTGATGAACTTGAAGACGTAAGCCATCACTCTCAAGGCTCGAGAGAAAGAGGAAAACCTGTCCAGAATGTCGGGGTCTTCTTCGGTAGTGAGGAGTGCCTCCACTCTTCGTACTTCCGGGGGGTTGACCTTGCGGACTGGGGGTTTTGGCCATCCTTCGGGGGGCTTGGATAGCCACTCAGGACCATTCCACCATAACGACGACGCTGCTAAGTCTAGTGGCTTGCAACCCCTTGTGCCCATATCTGCGGGGTTGTCGCTGCTGCATACATGTCGCCAGGTGGCGTTTCCGACGAGTTCCAAGATCTCCGCGGTGCGATTAGAGACGAACGTTTTCCAAGAGTGGGGTGGCTTTTCCAGCCACGCCAATACAATTTCAGAGTCAGACCATAGTACCAGTTTTCTTTTAGAGAGGTCGAGATGGGACTGAATAGCTGCGACAAGTTTGGCTAAGAGAAGAGCTCCGCAGAGCTCAAGCCGGGGTAAGCTAGTTGTTCGAAGGGGTGCTACCTTGCCTTTGGAAACCAGAAGGTGAGAAGAGATACTGGAACCATGAGTAGTTCGAACATATACGTTAGCACAATATGCCTTTTCTGAGGCGTCGCAGAATCCATGGAGTTCAACATGCTGGTCGGGAACAAAGTTTACCCATCGGGGTATTTGAATGGTCGAGATTGTGTGGAGATTTTGTGCGAACTGAGACCATTTAACAAGACGGAGGGGCTTGACTTTTTCGTCCCAGTCAGTTCCGTCGATCCAGAGCTCTTGTAAGAGAATCTTTGCCTGGATCATTATCGGCGTAAGCCACCCTGCGGGGTCAAAAAGTTTCGCGACAGAGGAGAGAATCTGTCGTTTAGTGCTAGCAGATAAGGCTGGGATGGAGTCGATCGTATAGGAAAACGTGTCTGTGAGCGCGTTCCATTGGATCCCTAGAGTCTTTGTGGTACTTGCCTTTTCGAACTCGAGAAAATTAGTATCGAGCAAGTCCTCTTTCCTTATATTTTTGAGAATTTCTGGGTGGTTCGCTGTTATTTTCTTTAAGGGAAAGCCTGCCGAGTTTAGAGCCTGAATGACTTGGGTGAGAGATTGAGTGGCGATTGTCAGATCGTGGCTGCCAGAGAGTATGTCATCCACATACGTCTCTTTATTCAGAATGTGGGCGGCCATTGGGTAGTTGGTTTTTTCATCTTGTGCTACTTGGTGAAGTGTGCGAATGGCGAGGTAGGGCGCACAGTTTGCACCGAATGTGACCGTTTTTAATTTATAATCTTGAATGGGACTGGTTGTCGGTGAACGAAAGATTATTCTTTGAAAGTCCTGGTCTTCGGGATGTAGCAGTATTTGTCGGTACATCTTTTCGACATCACCATTAAATACAAATTTATACATTCGCCACTTGAGGATGAGAAGCATCAAATCAGGCTGGAGAGTTGGTCCGGTATATAATACATCGTTAAGAGAGTAACCGGATCCCGAAATCTTTGATGCATTAAAGACAACTCGTACCTTTGTCGTTCGTTTTTCGGGCTTAATGACCGCATGGTGAGGGAGA